CGCAACAACTACTTGTCCCGAGGGAAGTGGCGCTATCCCTTGTTCCCTACCTCTTGTAAATGGTTTAGGGTTTAGGGTTTAGGGTTTAGGGTTTAGGGTTTAGGGTTTAGGGTTTAGGGTTTAGGGTTTAGGGAGGCGCCTGGGTTTCAGAGGCTATATATGAGGGTATATTATACAAGAATTCGCATCTAGGAGCCTATATTATAGAAGTCCCATCTTTCAGCTTCGCCCTCCTTGGAGCATGTCCTCCTACATCCATGTCTCAAGGGCCATGAAAGCTGTCCTGGCACTTCCCGCAGTCTTCTGGACACAAAGGGTTTCATTCCGGTCGTTTCTTACAATCCGTCCTGGCTCCTGCTGCCCTCCAGGTCAGCCACGTTTTGCGCGGTCACGGCTTCAGCGTGTCAGGTGCTTGTCCAGCAATATGCGCAGATGAGCTCGGCTTTCCAGACTCTCGGCACACTCCGGAAAGAATAGTCAGCCTTCGGCATTCAGCGAACATGCGGGAGCAGTCTTGGCAGTCTCAGCGAGCTTTTTTCATACTTGTGCAGTGCGGGCAGATGGTCAGCTCGTGTGCTTTGGATCCCGCTCATCTGGGCAATCTGACTTGCCAGCAGATTTGGGACCAGCGTTGGAAGTCTCAGCGGGCGCATAGCATACTTGCACAGTGCCGGCAGATGGTCAGCTCGTTTGCTTTGGCTACAACCAACATGGGCAGTGTCACGTGCCAGCAGATTTGGGACCAATTTTGGCAGTCGCAGCTGGCGCTCGTCATACTTGTTTACTTGTGCAGTGCGGGCAGATGGTCAGCTCGTTTGCTTTGGCGACAACCAACATGGGCAGTGTGACGTGCCAGCAGATTTGGGACCAATGTTGGAAGTCGCAGCTGGCGCTCGTCATACTTGTGCAGTGCGGGCAGATGGTCGGCTCATCTGTTTTGGATGGAATCAAGATGGGCAGTGTGCTGTGCCAGCAGATTTGGGACCAGTTTTGGCAGTTGCAGCTGGCCCCTGTCATACTTGTGCAGTGCGGGCAGATGGTGTGCTCATCTGTTTTGGAAGTAATGAAGATGGGCAGCGTGATGTGAAAGCAGATTTGGGACCAGCTTTGGCAGTCGCAGCTGGCGCTCGTCATACGTGTGCATTGCGTGCAGATGGTCGGCTCATATGTTTTGGATGGACTGAAGATGGGCAGTGCGATGTGCCAGCAGATTTGGGACCAGCTTTGGCAGTCGCAGCTGGCGCTCGTCATACGTGTGCATTGCGTGCAGATGGTCGGCTCATTTGTTTTGGAAGGACTGAAGATGGGCAGTGCGATGTGCCAGCAGATTTGGGACCAGTTTTGGCAGTTGCAGCTGGCCCCTGTCATACTTGTGCAGTGCGGGCAGATGGTCGGCTCATCTGTTTTGGAAGTAATGAAGATGGGCAGTGTGATGTGGCAGCAGATTTGGGACCAGTTTTGGCAGTCGCGGCTGGCTTCGAACATACTTGTTGCGGGCAAATGGTCGGTTCATAATGTGGACAACCGCTGATCATGCAAAAAAACAATACTGAGTGTCAAGGTGACCTTTGCCTTTTTAACTTTTCATAGTAGCTTCACCAGTACACCAAAAAACTTGGGCCCTAAACCTTAAACCCTGAATGCTAAACCCCAAGTTCACTCTGGGGTTCAAGGTCGAGATTAGGATTCAGGGCATATGGGGTTTAGGTTTTAGGGCGCAGGGTTTAGGGTTTAGGGTGTGGTGTTCTAATTCGAGTTTAGGGTTCGTAGTTAGACCGTAGCCCTAAACCCTAGACCCTAGACCCTAAAGCCTAAACCCGAAAGCCTAAAGCCTAAATAAGCCCAAAGCCCAAAGCCCACAGCCTAAAGCCTAAAGCCTAAAGCCTACATCCTACAGCCTACAGCCTAAAGCCTAAAGCCTAAGCCCTAAACCCTAAACCCTAAACCCTAAACCCTAAACCCTAAAACCTAAACCCTAAACCCTAAACCCTAAACCCTAAACCCTAAACCCTAAACCCTAAACCCTAAACCCTAAACCCTAGCACAGACACCGCCTCTGCAGCCTTGCATGGCAGGACGTCGAGGAAGGCGCCTGCGTACAGGCCCGTGTTCTGAGCGGTAAATCACCCCTCAGGTGTCCTTAGACGTAGCTAGAGGGTTTAGGGTTTAGGGCTTGGGGCGTAGGGCTTAGGGCTGACTTGGAGGTTCATGGTACTTTTTAACCAATTATCACTGTACTTATAACCCACTTATAAGCCCCTTATGATATGGTTCTAAGTACAGTTGTCAGTACAGTTATAGTGAGGGTTATGAGCAGTTCAGGTACAGCATCGGGAAGCAAGCCCGGTGGATCATTTCTGCTTTTTTTTGAGGGAAAGGCACTCTTCTTATGACACGGCTGCTCAGCTGCGGGCCGTATCCGAACACTACCCGAAACCCGAAAACACTTGGCCTGGGGGAGGGGTCCCTGACACAGTATGGCCCCCTCTCGTATTTAGGC